ACCCCTGGGTTCAATCCCTGGTACCAGAAAAAAAAATTAGATACTTGTTGAAATATAAGAAATACATCTAGAACTATAATTTTTGTTTAAAAAGAAAAGCTCCAGTGTACCCATTTTTTCCAACAGTCACACAAAGGATGGAGATAAATATGGAATATCCCCTTCACATTTGTATAACACTTTTTAATTCACAAAGCGCTTTGAAATGCATCAATATTTCTTATCCCTGTGCGTGTCCTAATAGCCACTGCAAATGAGGAGCTTATGTTCAGAGTTAAAGTGACTTCACCCTACCACGAAGTGCTGGTGGGCTTTGACCAGCACTGACTGGCTCCGTGTCCAGGAGTCTTCCACTGCCTCTCAGGTACCAGGCCCTCACATGGGAAGCCAGGGAGCACAGAGGACAGGAGAGGGGTCCCACAATCCTCAATGACTTGAGGACCTCCCCGTAAACCCCACCTCTTGAAAGTCCAGAGCACCTCCAGCAGCTCCATTGCAGGGACCAAGCCTTGAACAGGGGCCTTCAGAGGAGCCTTCGATATCCAGCTCTAGCACCAGGACACTCTGCAGCCTGCTGGACTGGCTTTTTGCTTGGGATGAGCTGGGGACTCCCTTCCATGCACTCCAGTACTTCAGAAAATAGCCAGAGCTGGTGTGTAGTAACCCTCTAAATGTTTCTAGTGACCCTCTAAATGTTGAAGTTTGAATATCCTTTAAGGCCCAGATTGCAATCACTTCCTACAGGAAGCCTTCCTGGATACCTTAGCTGAATGAATGATTGTATCACAACTTTCACTCTGTTTCTGAATCCACTTACCCTTTACTGCCACCCCCATGTCATGTCTGGATCTAAGAATCACTTTCAATACAGGGAGTCCCCAGAGCATGGAGGCCTGGGTTTGTCTACTGTGTATCCCCCTGGAGTCCAGCACAGAGCTCTGAATGGAGTCAAGCCACCCTGAATGCCAAATGGAATGGACTGATCAAAATCAAGCCCATTGGGGCTGGGGTTGTGGCTCCGTGGTAGAGCGCTTGCCTAGCATGTGTGAGGCACTGGGTTTGATCCTCAGCACCACATATAAATAAGTGAAATAAAGATCCATCAACAACTAAAAAAAAAAAAGGCATTAAAAGAAAAAGCCCATCACTAATAAAAGTAAAAAGATCCCCAATCAGAAATGTAATATGAGTTTTCTCAAGTGCAGTGTGTGTGGTCCATGAGGAATCTTAGAACTCTGCGGAGTGGGGGGACAGTGTTACTTTCTACCACAGCCAACTTTTAAATCATGCATTCCAACTCCAAGGCTGCTCTGAGTAGCTCCAAGAAAAGTGTGTTCTGACAGTTGATTGGAATGAATCCAGCTTAGGCCGGATGCACAGGAACCTCGTGAGTTTATTAAGCATCCATCACGGATACGTGAGCTGGATTTTCTTGGGAATACAATTCAATGTTATTCCACCTGAATGTGGAACCTAGAGTCTGGAGGGTGAAGCTATGAGACGGGGGCTTCTGGTACCTCAAAGAAACTCTTCAGGTTTCCAGGATGAGCATCTTCCAGTGGCAAAATGGGTGCAGAGAAAAGAAAAACCTAGAACTTTCTTATCTTTCCAAGCCGGCTTTAGCCTGGTCTGGGCTATAACTACCAGTAATGTTTTTGCTCCTTCCTTTTTAAAGTTTTTACTCCTGTGCTCTTTTGAAGTGATCCAAAATTAGTGCTTTATATGTGTCAGGGGAGGACTGTCAAGGTCTGGGGTAGGCGGTGTGCCGAGCCCTCTGGAGACCATCCATCCTGAGCCCCTCTTCACAAGTGGCACCTACACTGTGGTTCCTGCAGCAGACCTAGCCCCTTTGCCTCTCTGTATGGTACTGGCTTCCTCTGCAGGGATCAAGGACTCCTCGCACAGATTCCAGCACAATTCTTCCAGCATGAAATTCATGACCTGTTTCTATTCTGATTCTGACTGGGGCTGGCTCAAGGGACTATTGGGCACTCCTAGTGCTTACTCGGTCAGCATGTGTGTTGGAGGCAGGGCCTTATGTTGGAGCTGGAAGGGGCTATCAAGGTCCATCTGTCACAGACGGTCAGCCTTGCTTCCTGCCCTTGAGGAGGACACAGACTCAACAGCAGGGGAGGCTAGATGGGGTCACAAATGACCCAGAGCCTGGCTAGAGAATGTAATGCTAGCCCAGGGTTGGGCAATCAGGGAAAAATGAGGAATGCCCTCAGCAGGACAGTTGATCCAGAAAGGCTTCCTGGAGGAGGTAGTATTGACAAATTGGAGGTCTTGACAAATTGGAAACTGAACATGAGGAGGGAAAGAAGGTGGCATTTCAGATGAAAGGAACAACAGGTGAAGAGGACCATGTGGCACATGCATGGGGAACACAGGTGGTGTGGAGCCCTGGGACCTGGCACAAGGCAGGAGATAGTGACTGGGAAGGTCCATGGTAGCAGACCTGAAGAGCCTTCACTCGTGAGCCTTCTTGGGTGTTGGTCCTAATGAGTGTGCCTCCATGGGCACTCCAGCCTGGGTGTACCAATGCTCTAGGAGCTGACATGCCAGATGCTGAAGTCTCTCTTATCTGCCCCCCACACAAAAATCAGGTGTTACCCTGCACCCTGTGAGTCTGCAGGGATCTTTTGCCTGTTGTCCTGCCCACTGTTTGCTTAGATGCTGACAGGAGGGGACAGAATTTTGGAATAAGACCACAGCAAAACAGTGTATGAACAGTGGACCAGAACTGATTAAAATATGCCACAGATAGCCACAGTCTCCAGTGTAGATGCCTACAATGGCCAGGCAGGCCACAGGATAAAAGAAGTCAGCCTTGTGGCCAGGACAAGATAGAAATTGCCTGTTCTGTGACTAACGACACACTGTTCCTTCAAAACACTGGACAGCCATCAATCTGTGTCGATGGGCATCATGTGGCCCAAAAGCTCCAGTTCTTGCCTCTGATGGACTGTCAGCTGGTAGATATGGGGGTGCCTGTGGCCTAGGGCAGGGGCACTGTCAGGCAGCAGGGAATCACTAGAGGTTCCCTACATTGGAGTTTTCATAGGTGGAGACAAAAGGAAATGGGCATAGCAGCTTCTTCTTTACAGAGGACAAAACTGAGGCCCAGAAAGGTCACTAAGCTGCCTCACAGCTGGCCAGTGACAGAGTCTCACATGGGTTGGCCCTGGTCTCCACCCAGTGTCCCTGTGACCTACCCAGTGCTACTCTTCAGCCACAAAGTCTGTGGCTCTCCCCGAGAAATGAGAAGCATTGTGTATTCTCCACCTCACGCTCGCCCTCTCTCTTGGTTTTTCTCTTCCCTGTTTTTCTGAAGGCCTTCATGGCTGGCCTGAGCTGGTGGGAGAAGAGGTTTTTCCCAGCGATGGATCGATGTGCGGTGTGCTGGGCTGTCGGGGTTGACAGGGCTGACCTTTACTGAGCTCAGGTTTTCGTCTCCCTGTTGGGAGCTCAGGAAGGTCTTGCTGTGTAGAGAGGGAGGGCGAACAGCCTCGGCCTTCATGGGCCCAGGCTGTGGGCCTTCCTGTCTGTAGTGAAGACAGGAGGGGAAGCCTCCTGCAGGTCATTTATGCGAATCTTTTCCAAGCACACCACTTTCACAGATGAGAAAACTGAGGCTTGGTGAGTATTGGCTTGCTCAAGCTCATTCAGAGGGCCCCAGAATCCAGAGTGTATGTATATATACATTATGCATATTATGTATACCCATATATGTATGTATCCTGCCTATATGTACATTATAGATAATAGTTTAAACTATTAAATATAGTGCTGTGTGGATGTATAGATCTATTTGTTAAATATACATGTTGTGAAAGGCCATGGTTTTGATCACCCAAGTCATAGACAGTTTTGTGCAGCAATGCCCGGTACCCACTGACCCCCTATCTGCTGCATGTGACACTTCTACAAAGCCTTAGAGAGAAGCTGAAGAAATTTCATGGCCCTGTTGAACTCTTTCCATCCTCCTCCTCCTCCTCCTCCTCCACAAAGATTTTCTCTCCAAGCCCAGTTTGACTCCTTCAGAAATAGAACTTGGCTGCGAAGTCACTTTGAAAGACTTTCTGTATGTTAATTACAGCCGGCCAAGGTCTCGAGCAGAGGTGGGAGCCCACCATCTGCAGATGGGGTCGGCCCCCAGCGCGCTCTGCAAATCCCCATCATCTGGCAGGTGTCGTTTTGGGTTAATTAAGAGCTACACTGAGCCCGTTTACCTGTCACTTCTGAGAATTTTAGAAAACTTTGACTTTCTTGCCATCTCAGAGCTTTGAGCGAAGGGGAAACTGAAAACACCTCTGATTCTGGTGAAGCTCCTGTTCCTGGAATCTCCAGGGCAGTTGCATTCAGCACAGCTTATCACAGCCCCCCCCCCCGAAACTTTTTATTTTCATCAGTATTTTCTTGTTATCACATTGGTCTTTATAGTCAGCTCTTCTGTATTGGGAAGACAGTGCTGTTTGGGAGAACCCCATGTTTATCCTTGGTCTCTTAAGCCTCTGCTTTCCTTCTTAGTCTTTGAGAAAAGAATATACATTCCTCCAACTTCTTTGTTTAGTGGCTCTGAGGCAGGGGTTTGAGGTGGGACTCACTTGGCCGGTCAGGAGTCTCAGCAAGTCAGGGTCTGGGCAGAAGTGCTGACCTCAGAGCTCTGCATGCATGGGAAGATGACTCAGATCCCCAGAGTCGGGTTCTCATTTGGTCACATGTCCCTCTTCTTCATCACAAGACAACTTTCTCTCTTGGGAGTGATGCTAATGTTCTGTAACTTGGTAGGGGTTTGCTTTACCTGGGTATCATGCATTTTTCAAAACACCATAGTACCCTGAAGATTTGTGCATTTCAATATGTGTAAATTTTACATCCAAAGAGAAAAATTTGTTCATTAAACAAATAATGAACTTCAGATAATAATATGCATGCTGAAGTACTTAAGGGAAAATGTACTGATACTTGCAATTTACTTGGAAATGCAAAAAATGGAGACATATGACAAGCACAAACAAAACTTTATGGCAGAACCAGGTGGTGGCCTTACAGATGTCCCTCTAATATTCCTTCAGCTTTTCTGTCTTGAGAAGGAGTATGGGGAGCACACCCTCTGCTGAGCTTGATATCTCCACCATCAGTGAAGAGAAGGTTCATATTGCTCCTCACACAGGTTTGCAAAGATCATCTGTAACCACAAAGTCACTTGGTCTTCTCCACAAGCTTAAAAAATAGGGACTTCCCTTTCCTCCATTTTACAGATGAGGAAACTGAGGCTTAAGAGGTAAATCCACAATCCCAAAGCCACACAACCTATAAGCAGCAGAGCCTGATCTACAGCCGGAGTCTGTGTGACTCCAAAGGCCATTTTCTGTCTTCTCCTCCAGGATGAGCAGCTCTGAACAAGAGTAGGGGCTGGAGCACATCCTGAAAGTGACCCTGGACAGCCCTCTATTCTCAGTCCTGATGACAGTAGCCAAGGACTCCCATTATGAACCATTTGCTGGTCCCTCCTCCCTGCCTTTGCACATGCAGTGGCCTCTTCTGGCCTCACCACACCTTTCCCTTCTTCAAACAATACCAAGAGCTGCTGCCACCCCCTGTGTCTTGAACTCAAGATAAGATTGATTCAAACCCTCGTTTGCCATCTCATGGAAAAGTCTGATGTCTTCCCGAGAATTTTGCAACATCTCCAGGTGGAGACTCATTTTCCCATTCTCACCTCTGGCTCAGGCTTCTTGGGCTCCATGATCTATACTGTTCTCTAATTAAATTCTTTCATCCCACCCAACCACTTCCTCTGATTTTCATGTGGGGAGAAAACAGCAATGCCAGCCTTGGAGTGTTGTGTTAGTCTGTTTTCTGTTGCTATAACAAAATACCTAAGAATGAATAGTTTGTGAAGAAGAGAAGTGTATTTTGGCCCACAGTCTGGAGGTTAGAAAGTCCTAGGCCATAGCAGTGATGTCTAGCCAGGGCATCATAATGTGGCAGAAGGCGAATGGGCTCTTTATAATAGCCCATTCTCCTAAGAAAGGTGTTAACCCCTCTTAATGACCTGATCACCTCTTAAATACCTCTGTCTTTCACAGAGATACAACGGCAATCACATTTTGACATGAGTTCAAACCATAGCAAGTGTGTAGCAGGCTTTGTGAATCTATAGGAGGTGGGCAGGGGCTAGGTTACACTCCCAACAGACAATTTAAGATGGGAACTTTCTCTTCTTAAACATCGCCCCTGCCCACCATGGGTTGTGTGCATCTTTAGTTCCCACAGCTCAGTTCCTTCCATTTTCTTAGTACAGCACTTAACTCTTTCCAACTTTACTCCTGTACCCAGAACTTGGCTTCCCTTTGCATATCCAAGAATGCAGCGAAAGCTCAAAAATTCCTTTTAGAGCTTGATCCAGTTGTTAGAGGAGGGTATTTTTTTCCTCCACCTTCTCCAGTCTCTTTGGCATGGGGAGAAGATAGGTTTGTTCTTCCAGGAACATTATATCATTTGTCTCTCACCATCCTGTGATGTAGGTGCTTGTCTTAGTTCATTTCCTGCTGCTATGACTGAATACTTATAAACAATAAAGTCTGATTTAGCTCATATTTCTCAAGGTTAGGAATTTTGAGGTTGGGTGGTGGCATCTGGTGAAGTTCTTCTTACAAATGGGGACTCTACCAAGTCCCACGATGACAAAGAATATCATATAACAAGATAGAACCTCAGTTCTTATAAAGATATAGACCCATTGAATTAGGGTTTCACCCTTATGGTCCCACCCTCATTACCTCCTTTAATCTTCCTTATATCCCCAAAATTCTGAAATACCTACAAATACCATATTTTTATTAAATTTGTACCCTCTTAATACCTCATAATGAAGACTCAAGTTTCAACTTGAGTTTAGTGGGCACATTCAGACCAGAGGCTTATATTCAAGATGAGGACACTCAGCCCAGAGAGGTTCAATCATTTGCCCAGGCCCACACAGCCAGTGAGTAGAGGGACTTCTGTGTCAGTCACTGTCTGTCCTGTGTGTGCCCACTTTCTTTCTGAGGAGGGCCCATGTGCTGTGTACCTCCCACTGCCCACTGAATGACAGCCACCTAGGCACAAGCTGGCACCCCAAGCAGGCCTCATAGAAGCTTTTCTATAAATGCAATCAGAATATGTTTCCAATTTACAAGGTAGGCATTTTTGAGAAATGTCCAAAGCATGGATCAGTTGGTGGAAAGAGGTGACGAATGCTGGGCAATATCTTTGTCCTTTGAGCTGGGAAAAATCTTTAGAAAAGGCATTTATTGTATGATCTTTGTCTTGGACCTTCTGGCTGCACCTCTGGAGGCCCCAGCAAAAGCCAGAACCAGGGATTTGCATTTTTCGCCCTGCTCTTGAGGAAGATTTTGTGCCTATTGATTGTATGGCTGTGTCACCTCCCAAGCCGTGTCCCCTCTCACCTGTGCTGTGGCAGCAGGACCACAGGTGGATCTCCGGGACCTCAAGCTTACTCTTCCAGCCTGTCTACCAGCTGCTATCACTCCCTGCCCTGTAGCGTTGGCTGTCCCAGCCACAACAGGAGGAAATGCTAACATCCTGTCCCATCCTGGCTCTGCTCTACAGCAGCCACACAGGAGGTCTGGCTACTTGGGTCACACCCTGACCACCTAGCCCCAGACCTCTGTTTGGCCTGGGGTGCCTAGCTCCCTGTGCGCTCAAAGTCCTACCCATCCTTTAAGGCTAGGCTCATAGCTCCCCTTCTCCCCAGAGGTATTTCCAGATCTCTGGCTAGACAAACCTCACTTTTCCAAACAGCTTTTATGAGGTTTCAGCAAAGAAGGTGAGTGCCCCTCAGAGGATGGCAGTGAGTTCAGACAGGGAAAATGAAGCAAAGGACTAGACCCCCCCTAGAGCTCAGGGACCCAGGATCAGGTGGGGCCCAAAGCAGCTGTGAGGGCCCAGGAGGAACAACCCTGTGGCAGCAGAGTAGAATCAGGCTCAGCAGAAAAGAAGGACCTTTAGACAGGACTTGGATTATTCTGTTCTTTTACAAATGGGGAAACAGAGGCCCAGGTGGGAAAGTAGTGTCACTGAGGCAAGAGAGCCCTGTGCTGGGAGACAGGAGCCTGGATCCCCCAACCTGGGCAAGTCTCCCCACCCTCTGCAGGCTCCATTTTCTCACATATGAAGTGCAGTCAGTTGTACCCATCTTGTGAGCTTCACAGAATAGTCAAGAGCATTACATGAGATTCTGGATGCAAGGAGGTCTTGGGGACTGATACAGGGTCATTGTCATCGTGGGGTGGCATCTGCTGAGCCTTCACTGTGTGCCAGGTACTCTGTTCATGTGGCCTCTACAAAAACCACATGGTCTTTACAACAAGCTTTCAATTGCCCTATTTAATAGAGAAGGAAACTGTAGCACAGGAAGATGGAGTGGCCTGTTGGGGGTCACAAGCTGGGAAGAGACAGACCCAGGATTTGAATCCACACTGGCTCCAGGACCCTTGTTTCCAGCTTCTGTGCCAAACTGACTGAGGCCCATGGGATCCAGTGGTAGCTTGTGGGCTTGAACCTCCTATGATCTACTGCTTCCCAGTAAGCTTTGTGGCTTGGATAGAATAGGAATGTAGATAGCTTCCTTGGTGATTGAAGACCTGGCCTCCCCATATCTCATGGGGTGAGGGCTCCCTATACTTAGCCAGCTTCCTATCTAGCACTTCAGATACTCAGGCACCATACATATCAGGTCCTCAACAGGAGGTTGGACCAGCCCCTGGGTCAGCCTCATGCCCTGGAGATGGTCAAGCTCCCCTTATCTAGGCCATCTCATAGAGCAGGGGCCCCAGGCTGAGGTTGCCTATCACATCACAACTCTTAGCACACCATGGTGGGGGCAGTAGGTTCATTTGCTCCACTGAGGGTCAGGATGGTATGGTAGGCAATGAAGTCAGAGAAATTGGTTTGAATCCTGGCACACAGCAGGATATACCCCTGACTATGGGGACAAATAATGGAAGTAATACTAGCCATCACCTGAGTTAGAGAAGTCTGCTCTAGTAGTATATCTCTGGTTGACCTAGAAGCTCCCATTTTTTATCCATGCATTCATTCAACAAATAATTTTCCATGCCTGCTTGATGCCAGGCCTTGTGCTGACGGGTGGGATAGAGACATGGACAAGTCTTTCTGCTCCCCAAGGAGCCTACAGCCTAGTGGAAGGGGCAGGTAATTAACAAGGTAAGCATGATAAACAGGACAGATTGGAGTGGGATGCTCTCTATAGAGAAAAATAGAGCAAGAGAGAGGAATGGGGTGGTCAGGGAAGGCCTCATAGTAGGGTCTTGCCTGAAAGAAAACTAGTAGGAGTAGAGGAGGGAACCACAGTGACATCTATAACAGAAGAAGCCAGGAAGCTACGAGAGGTCCATTGAGTACCCTCTGTCTGTGGGGGCTGGCACACAGATAGAGGACTCACAGAGGCCAGACACCCATGCCCCAGATTGTTCATCCAGGGCAGGGAAAATCTGGTGCCTGGGGCTGATACAGCAAACTGGGTCTGCCTAGGGAGAGGCAGGAGAGGGACTTCCATGGGAAGAGGTATCCCAGAGCCTTGTCACTAATACTATAAGGCCAGGCAAGTGGGGATGGGGAGGAGGGTAGTGATCCTGAGTTAGGTGCATCCTCTAGAGGAGTTGGGAGCTGTTTGTGGCCCCCTGTAGGCCTCAAGGAGCCAGTGCCAATTTGGGGATGGACAACATGTACAAAACAAACACAGTCCCCCCTCACCCCAGTGGACCTGAGACTTGCACTTTTGGAGGCTGGAGATCAGGGAGGCTTCCTGGAAGAAGCAGCCGTGGACTGGGCCTGGCAGTAGGAAAGATGTTGCTAAATATAAATGGCCTTTGCCACGGTAGCCTGATGCCCCAGGTCCAGGCATGGTGCTGTCAGGAAGTGCCTCTGAAAGAGCAGCTCCACAGGCACCCAGAGCCAGAGGGGAGAGCGGTGTCCCTTTTCTGTGTCTCTGCTCCCCCACCCTGCCCCTGAGGAGGAGGAGGAGGCGGCTCTGTGGTGTGATGGATATGCTGAGGCTGGGCTGCTGCGGCCCAGCACTGTCACCATGCTCTCCCTCCGTATGCCAGAACCTGACACCCTGACCACTGAGGCATAAAAAACAGAGAATTGGAAGGCTCAGCCTGTCAGGCTGGGAGTGGCCCCCAGAGAGGCCTGAGGAGGAGCGCACGTGTGTGTGTGTGTGTGTGTGTGTGTGTGTGTGTGTGTGTGTGTGTATGCACACACTCTGCCTGTGTGCCTTGGAGGTGGGAAGAGGCTGACTGGTCCCAGTAGCAGGGAGGGCTGGCCCCTCGACTTAGCCTCACTGTTGGGCCCCTACCTGACCAAGCCCCCATGGGCCACACATTTGGGCTTAGGCCACAGGAGAAAGCAAAAAATTGCTCTTGGTTCTGAGTTCTGGTTGGCCCCTTCTGGAGACTCTTGCCCTTTGGCCTCTATAGATCTCTATGGGGGTGTTGTGGAGTCATGCTCATGGAGCTGTGTAAAGCCTGTCATCTCCAACAGAGGAGAACCCTGTGCTCTGCACCCAGTAGCTGAAGAAAACCACTCAACAACTGACTTTCCATGCCCTGCCCCAGGGCCTTTACTGGACACACCCTATGCCAGGCACAGGGGCACCCAATGAAGGGTCAGGACCCAAGCCTGACCCCTGGGGACCCTGGCCACAGAGTGAGACAGGCAGGCCATGGTGGCTGTGACAGCAAGACAGCAAGGGTGTGGAGGACAGGATTCAGGCTCCTGCCTCTGACCTGGATGCTGGTAGGATACCTTCCTGGGGCTGTTGTGCACCCAGGAAAGAGCCAGATGCAGTACACTGTTTTTTAAGCTGGTGGGCCGATCCTCGGGGTATCCCATGCGACCTCCCATTCTGGCACACCTCATAGTACCTACCTGAGCACACCAAGAGCCACTGACAGCTGCCCCAGAGTGCCTAGAAGACTCCATCTGCATCGACAATCAGAGGGTCTGGGTTTATGTCTCATCCCTGACTACAGGAGGCTCTATAGGCAGCCACCTCAGCACTCACAGGCCAGAATGGAGCTGAGGTTATGGGCCATGAAGCTGAAGCACTCCAGGTTCTGGAGTGGCCTCAGCCAGGACTGAGAGCATGGTGATCTAGGGCTTTGTGCTTGGGCAGGTGTATCATGGTCATTTTGTGAGTCCCTCAGACTTATAAAATGGGCCAGTGACCCCCCAGAACACCTGGAACTTGGTGGCTCCATGGTACCAACATGAGAATGCTTTTCACTCCCAGGATACAAAGGGCTTTAGGGGGAAATAAACACTGACAAGGTTGGCTGCTCACTTAATAAGGATGTGGCCCTAACCTGCCTTTATTGGTTATGAAAAGTACCTGAAGCTTATATTGAAGGCAAATGGCACCAGCACTCAGGCTGGCTGGGACTCAGGGCTTTTTCCAAACTAGATTTGATATTTAGTTTCTGTTTCTCTCTCCTCCTCCACCTACAGGGAGTGAGTTTTCCGGGAGTCCCTATAGCCATCCTCAGTATTCCTCGTACAACGACTCCTGGAGGTTCCCCAACCCGGGGCTGCTTGGTGAGTACTGGCAGAGGTCTGCCAGGGCCCTGGGCCCTGGGCCCTGGGCTGCTGCATCTGAACCTTCTCATTGGGCCAGGGTCCCTCGACACCTTGAGCTTTAGTCACCAAGGTAGGTGGGTAGCTTGCCCCACACAATGGAATACAGGGGTTGCATGGGGCCCTTAGGGCAGTAACATCACTCTTCTCATGCTCCCATTCCTCCCCAGGATTCTTGCGGGGTTGAGGGAAAATGTCATAAGGTGAAGAGAATAAAAAGACACTGAGGGAGAAAGAAGGTAGGAAAATTCCCTGCCTATGAGGAACTTGTATTTCTTAAGAGCCATTAAAATATGGTGAGAACTCTCTAAATAAGAGGTAGTAAAGACATAAACTTGGATAGATCAGTGGTGGCTTCCTGGAGAACTGTCTTGCTAAGGCCCACTGATGGAACAGTGATGTCTGCCATGGATGGCAGCAGTGCCAGTTCCTTTGGAAGCTTGCTGCTTTATGGCTGAAGGCCTGCCAGGCAGAGCTCAGCTGGTACTCAACTCCTGCCCAAACTTCAAATTGGCAGATTGTCCAAGACTGGTGCCAGTCTGATTGTGAACATCACCAATGTTTTAGGGTTCCCCTAAGATCAAGCAGGACTAACTCAGCCCTCAAAAGTCTAAGAGTCTTTTGTTTTGCTGACATAAACTTACATAAAACCAGCTGGTGAGTGCCAACTGGAACTTGAGGAACTCTAAAGAGGAGACCCTGGGTTATAGATGTCACTTTCCACCTGTGGGTGGAGCCTGCAGGCAGCAACACTGATCCCTCCCCAAGGTCAGCTGAGAATTTTCCACTTGGAGGAGCAAAAGGTCAGACATGGGCCCTCTGAGACCACTCTGGTCTGTCTGTCCAGCTTAACAAGGCCTTTTTAAGTGAGAGCCTGTTAATTCCCTGGATCCTTAATTATTTCAGGACTGAGAAACATAGACTTCATCAGAAAAGCAATAACCCAAGGTCTTCAAACTCAAGTTGACAAAGCATAGGTATGTGAAGGAAGTCCTGAAGTCTTAGCCTTGACCCCCTCCCAAACCTGGTTTAGTGATTAGAACAGACACACAGCACAGACACTACCTCACTCTTGCTACCAGCATTCCATGTCCTTGGGGCCTTGGGCTGCCCAAAGCATTTTGGCATGTCATGCATAACTGTGGATGAAATGAGGCACATTGCCAATTAGTGCTGCGGGTCTCTGTGCAGGGGAGAATCCCAATCTCAGAGAAGCCTGTGAGCTTCTTACTAACTATAGTTTCCCTGAGGACCTGAATCTGCAGATTGATCTCAGACTTCTTTTTTTGATTTGGTCAAAATCATTTCTAAGTATTGAACAAGGGTCTCACTTACCTGATGGTTTTCTCTGAGCTGACCAGTTGTCCATCTCAAGGACCAGAAGGTATGGGCAGCTCTGGTCTCCCTGACCCAGTATTTTCTAGCAAGGGTGGAGCCAAGTGGGTGAGTCCTGTGCCAAGAAGTCCCTCCCTAGAAATCTCCCTCAGACAGAGCCCTGGTCCCAGTTCTAAGAGACCACAGGGAATGGCTCAAAGGAGGCCTGGGCAACAGTATGGGGCAGTGGCTCCTTCTGATGAGGCTTTGACTCCAAGGAGGTCACATTGACCCAGGGCTTCCATTTATGACTGCCTAGGGGGACACATGAAGGCTGAGATCCAACCCACATAGGGCACAAAGTCCTGCCCAGAAGGGGCACCTTTTTCTAATTTTGCATCCTGTAGGTTAGCAGTAGACTTTATTTTTTTGCCTGGAAATTCCAGAGGTAGAGAAGTGAGGACAAAACTGCTGAGGCAGGTGTGACAAAAGGATGGGGTTGCAGGTGGGGTGGTCTGTGGAGTGTGCACAAATGGGGGACCTCGAATGCCAGGCTGAGAAGCTGGCAACTGACTACATGGGCTGCTGGCTAGATGTCCAAGGAACCAAAGCAGGTGGCTGCACCACTTCTGAGGCTTTTGCTCTTCCAACTGGGGAGAAATCAAGGTCACAGCCCTAGTTGTTAGTCCCTGATTTGGGGAAGATGAAGGCTCTGTCCAAGAGAGTTCACTGGGGGAATGAGGGAGCCTTTGGCAGGCATGTCTGTGCTGGGAGGTGCTCAGGGCCATTCAGGGGGCTGGAGATAGCATGAGGAAGAGGAATCAAAACTCCATTTATTGCGCTGGGCTTGTAGCTCAGTGGCAGAGCATTTGCCTATCATGTATGAGGCACTGGGTTCAATCCTCAGTACCACATAAAAATATATAAAATGAAGGTATTGTATCCATCTACAACTACAAAAATATTTTTAAAAAACCCTCCATTCATCTAAATGAGAACTTGCTAATTGTATCCAGTACTGGGCAAAACCCATCATTTGGGTTATCTCATTTGGTTCTTTCAACAATGCTATGGAAAACATATTATCATCAGATGAAGAGAGTGAGGCTCAGAAGAGTTAATTCACATGAGGTCACAGCATGCAAGTGGCAGAATGAGGACTCCACTGACTCCAGAGCCTGTATTCAGAGGCAATATATGATGCAGTTTTCTGATTGTCCCTAATTCAGTCAGAATATTACAGCTTGGAAATAGACCTCATTCCTATGTAGAAACAGGCCTGAGAGTTTTCAGCACTCAAGGATTGTGTGTGATGAGGGGAACTGGTCTATTTTAGTATCTGTATCTGTCAGACTTATGTTACAAATTCTGGTTTAAGGGGAAAAAACAGATGAAGGAACATTAGGGGCTCCAAGAATCATGGGAGGGTAGGCATGGGACTCACAACCAGGAACACACCCAGCCACCCTACCAGGGCTTTTCTATTGCAAACATTCCCAAACATGCTGCTGGTTGGTACCCCCACAGCCACTTGCTCTCTGCTGCAGCTTTCCCAGGGTGCCCCATCTTAAGCATCACAAGCTCTGCCCTGCTTGCACCCAAAGCTAGGGCTCTTTGCCATCCACTCCCAACCAATGGAGTTCCCTAGTCCACTTCCTCAAGTTGCTCCCTTTCCATTAAAAGTCACATTCAAGAAGCTCATGGGCAGAGCCCACATAACGCACAGCCTGGAAAGGCCACTTTCCAGTTTGCAATGCTGTGCCCAGGCAGCAAGGGAAGCTGGAAGGTTGCACTCAATGAGATAGGTCTTCTGCAAAGGAAACTGCAAGCATAGGAGGAGTTCAAAGCTTGTGGGGCAGCTCCAGGCATAAGCAATGGCCCCAGGATTGGCCTGAGTCAGGCCATCAACCTGTCTGGGAGTTGGTTGGCTCAGGTATAAAATGAGGAGAGTCATCGTGGTGACCTTTTTAGGAAGGCACTGAACATGATGTTCTTTTGGCATGTGCCCTGAATCTAGACTGATGGCTTCTTTGACAGGAGGGTGGGGGATGTGCCAGGGGCCAAGGGTACGGAAACCTGTCCTGTGGTCCATGGTGCTCCTGCAGAATCAACAGGAGTTGTGGGCATAGGTGAGCCCCTGCATGCATGCGTGTGCGGGTACACACAAGTATGCTCACAACCATCTATCACTTGCTCTCAGATTGCACACAACCTGGCACATGCTGCCTACACTTTGGCTAGCCTGGTTGAGTGAGGCCTCTTCACCGAGTGAGGACCCTCAACACCATCAAATGAAGGCAGAAGACACATTGCACTACCTTCATGGGAGAACTTTCCTCCCTGTGTGCATGCCCAGTGGGAGAAGCTGTGACTCAGCATCCCATCCTGTGGGTCCCCCCAGGCTGATGAGGGCCAGGGGGCAGCCAGGGCTGGCAGAGAGAAAGGGCAGCTGTGGTCAATTAGGATTAGAATAGGAGCGCCTTGGCTGCTGTAAAGGGATTAGAGAGGGAGCCAGCCCGGAATGACTGTGTCAGGAAGTAAATTGATGATAATGTGAATTAGAGAGGAAAAATGACAGAAGAAAGGACAAGTTTATTCTAGATGGAGGTCTAATGGGCACCAGGAAGACAGAACGCTTTGTGAGGTGATGTTTTCATTTTTCACCATAAATGCAAACTCTCACACAAGGTGCTCTAGACGGTTGGTCTGGCCAATACTGGGCTCTGGGAGGGGGTGAGCCAGAGGTGGCTGGCTGGGGAGCTGGAATACAGGCCAGGAATCTGCTGGGAACCTTATCATCCACTTCCTATCCCTTGCCAACCCCTTCGTGAGGCAGCCTCTGTGTTGTTGTTGTTGTTTCTTTTGATACATTATTAGTTGTTGATGTGCATTTATTTATTTATATGTGGTGCTGAGAATCGAACCCAGTGCCTCACACATGCTAGGCAAGCACTCCACCACTGAGCCACAACCCTAGCCCCTCTGTGGTTTTTCTGCCCTTGTACCATGCCAGGCTTACAGGGGAGAGTCTGTTCACACACATATCCCTGTCCCCTAGGCTTGTCCTCAAGCAGAGATGCAGGGCTGGCACTGCAGCTACTCTGTAAGAGGCTGTCCTGACACTGTCTCTATCCCACAGAGGGAGTAGCAGAGGAAGGCAGATAGGTATCTGAGTCAGGTCTCCAGGTGGCTGGGCAGGCAAGAGAAATGTCTCTGGGAATTCTTAGGCATGGGACTGGTGTGCATGCTTCCCAGGCTGTTTCCACTGTTGTCCTGCCCCTAAAGGCCATACTGCCTCCTTGAATGGCAGGAGGAGAGAAAAGTGTTATCTGCTAGGGGGAGCTGAGTTTAAAGTGGAGGGGATGCATGCTAAAGTGCCCTCTCAAGCCATCTCCTTTGGTTACACACTAGCTCTATGATTTTCTTAAAACCTCTCCAAACCTTCTTTTTCTCATCTATAAAATGAGTATGATAATAATTCTTACTTGATAGGATTGCTGTGGAAATTAAGAGTTAACAGACATGGCCGGGCACAGTGGCACACCTGTAATCCCAGGAGCTCAGAAGGCTGAGGCAGGAGCATCATGAGTTCAAAGCCAGCCTCAGCAATTTAGTAGGCCCTAAACAATTTAGTGCGACTCAGTCTCTAAATAAAATATAAAAAGGGCTGGGGATGTAGCTCAGTGATTAAGTACCCGAGTTCAATCCCTGGTACCAAAAAAAAAAAAAAAGTTAATAGACATGAAGGGCTTAGAAAAGTGACAATCCATAGTACTCTTATATCCTTATTTTATGGTCACAATAGCTCCACTGTGACCCCCTATTACAGATGAAGAACAAAGTCACATGTTCAAGGTTTTACAGCCAAGATACGGTAGAGCCTCACTGGCAAACCCCAGGTCTCAGCCCCCAGTTATGGTATCTAGGAGAATCACCAGATTGGTTTGGATTGGAGTGGGTAAGTTTCAGAATAAATAAGAGTTGTCTCATCTGGGGAATTAAGAGGCTTGCTAGGGCTGGGGTTGTGGCTCAGTGGTAAAGTGCTTGCCTAGCACATGTGAAGCACTGGGTTTGGTCCTCTGCACCACATAAAAATATTTAAAATAAAGGTAGGGTTAGGATTAGAGTTTTTGAATTATGTAAAGAATCCTGAGATAGGGGAAGACAGCCTGAATCCCAGGCCAGGAACTAGCACTTATGAGGCTCTGTGGCTTTGGCCATGTGATTTTGTTTAGTGACTGTCAATTTCCTCACCTATAAAAAGAGGAGATTGGCCTAGTTGCTCTAACTTTGTGGTTATCAGACCAGCTGATGCCCTATTTCCCCCAGCTCCTCTCACCCCTGGGGAGGAGTTTTAGACCAGAGCAGATCTTCTGGAAGCCATACACAGACTGCAGAACTGAAGAAAGCAGACCAGAGGCAGTGGGAAGAACCTAGCATGATGTGAAGGCCCCCATGGCTCTGTCCTGATGCCACAGGAAGGGCCTGCACCTGCCCTTTTACATACACACATTCCCAGTCACCTCTGTCTTCCAAGCCCAGCCCAACTCCACTTCCTCCAGGAGGCTGACTTGCCAGAACAGGTTGTGTTTCCCTAGAGCTTTTTTCTTAGAGCTCAAATCCTCTTCCTGATTCAACATCAGACTGGGTCAGGCTGATGATTAACATTTTTTTTTCCCAGCCCTGCACCCAACAAGGTCAGGAAAGGAGCAGTAAATAAGTTAGTGAGTTCCTGAATGGATGAATGGATGGCAAGGAAGCTGAGGGGGTTCTTCACTACTGTTTGCTCACTCAGTGCTATTGTTCAATTATACCAAAACCCCAGCTAAACTGGCCAGGCTCCAGGCTGGGAACTGGGGACAGACGCCCAAAAGATCAGAACCCAGCTCCTACCTTTATGGAACTCTCCACCTTGGGATGGGGGAAGTACAGAAAAAAGTGGTTGTAGTGTAGTTGTAGCCCAAGCTTTTGGGGAGTGTTAGTGCAGGGCAGGGGGCTTCCCAGAAGAGAGAGTGGGATACTGGGATTTGAAGGAGGCATAGAAGTTTAACAGATAGGAAAGGGGGAAAGGGCACAGGCTGGGTATTCCAAGCAGGAGGCCACCAGGGGAAAAGGAACAGAGGCCTGAGAGTCTGATCAGTGGGTTAACTACCTACCCCTGGATTTAAATGAGATAATACATGCAAAGAACGGAGGAAATGCTCAGCCAGCTACAGTTGCCATTCACATTATGGTATACTTGAGACCACTGCAGACAGTTCTTTTCTGCTGGAGTATGATATATGAATGTGAGTGGCAGGGGCAGTCCTTGTAGGAGATTAAGTCCAGAGAAGCTGGCAAGAGTTAGACCACAAAGCATTGGATAAAGCCTGAATGCTTTTTATCTTCTAGATCAGGGGCCAGCAAACTTTTTCTACAATGAAACAGATAATACATATTGTCAGCTTTGTGGGCCACAGTCTCCGTTGCAACTACTCAGTTCTTCCACAGTAGCAGGGAAGCCACCATAGACAGTGGTAAAACAAATGGGCAAGACTGTTCCAGTAGCATGTCAGTTACTACAGCAGGCGATTGAGGCCCAGGTTTAGAGCCCAGGGCCCCTGGTTGGCTGAGCCCAGCCCTTGGTGGCAAGGGTGTAGTTATTGTCCTCATCAGACTTGCTTTTCAGGAAACAGATCAGGATGAAGATCTTGGTGAGAGGGGACAGTGACTTCAGCTGGGTGATGGGATAGAAGGGAGAGAGATGGGCAGACTATAAACAGGGGACCCGGGGCTGGGGATGTGGCTCAAGAGGTAGTGCGCTCGCCTGGCATGCGTGTGGCCCAGGTTCGATCCTCAGCACCACATACAAACAAAGATGTTGTGTCCGCCGAAAAACTAAAATAAATAAATAAATACTAAAATTCTAAATAAATAAATAAATAAATAAACAAACAAACAGGGGACCCCAGGTCCAACTTCAGTGCTCTCTCTCATCTCTTCCAGGCTCCCCCTACTATTACAGCGCTGCTGCCCGAGGAGCTGCTCCGCCTGCCGCTGCCACTGCCTATGACCGTCACTGACCCTTGGAGCCAGGCAGGCGCCAAGCACTTATGACACATATCATTGAGAGAGAGAGCCTCCCAGCCTCCCTACCAAGACAACCAGAGGGGCCCCAACAAGACCATCCCCCAACCAGCCCCTACTCATCTGAAACTCCCTCCCTCCCCTTTTCCTGCCAAGTTCTATAGTAGGCCTGTTGGACTTCTGAACCTTTGTCTGTTTCAAGTGTCAATCAGTGAGCTTCTCCCAGTGGTGACCAGATCTCTGACAACCAATAGACTGTTTGCCAGACAACTGCAGCCCAGCCCAACCTGCCAGTCCCCCAGCTGTCTGACCTCTGTGAATCTTATCCACCATAGGTCTGGGAAGGGAAGATAGCTTGTTGCTTCAACAGCACCCGTGTATATACACCTTTTTGCTTTTCTGTGGACCTAAAGGTCCACATGAGCAGACTTCCCATCCCATGATGAGCTCACAGTGTCATAGGACATCTTCAGTCTGACTCTGCACAGAGTATCCCCTCTGCCTTGAGTGCTCCCATCAGGTGGGCTTGAAGTTTTCCTTAGGACTGAGGATGTCCACCACAGGGCCCCAGTCCCCTGCTCATTCCTACTTCTCTAGTGTCTTGACTAGGAGTCTTACTGGGCTGGTTGGGCTGCAAGCTCCTACCCGAAGTCTCCCGAGAGGAATACACTTTGGGGAGATGCCCTGGTTTCCTGCCTCCATTTCCCTGGGGCCACTGCAGTATGAGCAACTCTTTTCCAGATCTAAGGACTCCAAGAGAACTGACTGGGAGAGCCTTCAGCTGTTGTTCTAAAGTAAGAGTTCATCTGAGTATTGATCATGTCATGGACTTTGAATGTCAGGGCTGGGTGGGTCTGGAGACCCCCAGGGAGGGGCCTGAGGCTTTCCTGACCCCTCAGACACTGGAACTGCTGAATGGAATTGGAATGTTTTCTGAGGCATACCCAGGCTTGAATCACTTGGGACACCTGCTGTGGCGACTTCACCCACCCATCCTCCAGGAACCTAGCAAGTAGATTCTGGGCAAGCTTGCCAGTGACAGACAACAGTTAGCAACAAGGACTTTCCCAGCACCATGGACCACAGAATCTACAGCAGTCAGCCAGAACTTCTGATCCACCTCTCTGGGTAGCACCTCCCCATCCTCATGGAGCTGAGCATATAGCTGGGCCCAAAGGCATGGGGTTGGCAACAGATGCCTAACTATAGTTATAGGCCTACCTGTTGATATAAGGGCTGGGATGGTCAGAGCTGTGGCCAAGGCCATGAGAGCTCAGAGAGGGAGCTTGAGGAACTTACTGTGGGCCAGGCTGGTAAGAGGAAGTCAGCTGGAAAACTTGGGAGACAGAGAAAGGCCTCCTGGGTGAGGGACAGAACAAGCAGTGATGAACTTGTGTGTGACTTGGGAGTGGTTTTGAGATGAGGGTGCCAGGTGCCACCATCTCTTCACCTGGAACCTCAATTCCTTGTACAGTCTCTCTTGCCAACTCAGAATGGCCAGGTAGAGCCTCCATCTAAACCCAGGCTGAATTATAGCCATGATGGCAGGCTTAGTCATCTTATATGACAGTCTCTCATGTCTGTATGTCACCAGGTTAGCAGAGAGCTGGGGTAGAAAGAGCCTGGACTTGGGATCATCAGGCCTAGCAGGTCTTATCCTAGCTACACCTCTGCTTTACCGTGAGTCCTCTGCCCCCAGCTGCCTTTTCCTTCCCGAGCCTTGGCTAACTTGTTACAGCAGGGTTGCCTGATTGCTTTCTTCTTCTCATCCTCCCTCCTGGGGAGCTGGGGCTGTGACAGGGTCATCTGGGGGCACGACCTCCATTTTTGAGCAAGCATATGGGGATGGATACCTGAGTCCTGCTAATGTTTGGATCCAGTGGGAAACAAGAACATTCTGAGGGGTGGGAATTATAAGGGCCCTAAAAAAGACCTAGTCTGGCTACCCTAGGGAAACTGAAGCCCAGCTTGGGGAAACCCAGGACCATGCAGAGAGTTAGAGAAGACTTCCTCTGGCCATCCCCAAGTGTTTTGTTCCCCCATACTCCAACAGGCTTGTAGAATACAAGAGACCCAGATTCAGTAAAGTGGATTCCCTAGCAATGACTGGTGGAAGTAGGGCTGGGACTTGGACCCTGGACCCCTAACACGTGGTGATCTGTTACCCCCTTCTATCATCTCATATTCCTGGGAGAGGAGTTGACAGTGAGGATGGCAAGAGAGGTTTCTGCTCTAGACTGGTGTCTGGGGCTGTTAGAACTACCAAGGAAACCCAGTACCTGGCCAGAGGTGGAGACCAGAGAGTCACAGCAGGTATATCCACCCCTGTGGAAACTGTTTGGCAGAGAAGAAGGTGGCTGGGGCCAGAGCCTCCTCCAGGAGCTGAGGCAAACTGGCCCCAACCTCCACCTGCCAGGTAAGGGTGGAGCAGGATGTTACTTGGCTCCTCCCTTTCTCCCTCCTACTCCCTCACAGGAAGTGGTGTTAGGGTCCTTGGCATAGGCCTTTTGGGCCTCTGCCCCTAGCCACTCCTCTCTTGGAATGATATGCACCCATATCTTTGGGTCCTGGTCCTTTCTTGTAGTTTCAGTCTTTAGGAAGAAGTCAGCCCCCACTGAACTAGCTGCTAAAGACACGTACCATCATTCCTCTGCAGAGCCCACGTGGCACCACAGCAGCCCCTGCCCCTATCCCATTCCTGATCTTGCCCTTGTAAGGGGCTCCCTCCAAGCTTTTCCTCTCTCACCTGAGGCCTTGATAGTCCTCAGATGGATTTGTATTAATTAGACAACCACATGATTCCTGGGCTGCCAGGCAGAAGCACAAGAGCACACAGATGCACACGGAAGTTCACATACACACCTGCTCTCATGTATTCAGAGCTCCCAGGCTGCCCAACAGAACTGCCTGGGGGCTTGGAGAGGATAGTTTCAAAGGACACAAGTTGTTGAGTAGATGCCAGAGAATTCTGAATGGAAATCCTGAGACTGGGGCTTCACCAGCATCCCGGTAGGAGGCCTGGGGCATTCCTCCATGGGCCTTCAGCTGTGTGTTCCAGCTCTGACTTTTTGAAAAAGGACATTTTCATACCATTCATTTAACTCCAACCTAGAGAAATCTGAAAACATATCAAATTCATCATCTCTTTCCCAAAGTGTGTTGGTTAGGGTTAGTGCTTTCATATCTGATGTTGTATGGTGCTTTGCAATCCTTGACTAATGCCCATTTCACAGATGGGGAGATTGACATTTGGGGCTCATCAGGTAAGACAGAGATGAAATGAACTCTGATATCTGGGCCCTATTCTCTCCCTACAGAGTTGTGCTTCTGTTGTGGGACTATGGGATTCGAAAACATCTGTCTCTCAATCCTCCAGAAACACCCCCAGACCCACAATGAGGGAAGAGCAGAACCTGGAGGCTGGCCTCCAGAAGGGCCCTGGGGTTAGTGGACTTGTCAGTCTCACTGATTCCCATTAACACTGAAACTTGTAGTCTTTCCTCAAATTCACACCAATGCTTCTGAGACTTCATCCAGGCTCCTTCCCTACTGCACCTTGAGCTCAGAGGTAGTCAGACCTTGTCCAAGGATACACCGTGATGCCTGGCAGGCCCAGATCCCATTCTCAAGGTGCAGGGTACCAGTATTATAAACTGTCCCCTTATTTCACTTTTCTCTGCTCTTTTTGATTTGGAGCAGACTGTGACGATATGCAGGAGTGCCTGAGCTAGGATTTAGGGTTCCCACAGGCTCCCAAAACACAGATGGCAATATCAAGGGCCCTCAACTGCTTTCCCAGCCAGGCAGGCAATGTCATCCCATTCCCCAGGCAAGGCAAGAGGCAGCATGGCATGGTGGGGCCATGATGCCCAGGAGTGTGGAAACTTGTAAATCACTGACAACCAGGAGAAAAATATATCTGTGGTCCAAATCTGACCCATTGGCCCTCAACTTGCCTCCCAATCTTTGTCAAATGCCCCCTTTCTTCCTCACCTCCCTGACCTTCATCGTACATTTGGAGAAGGTGGGAGCCCAGAGAAGTGAGAGATGTGCTTCAGGTCATCTAGCAAGTTGGTGGCAGAAATAGGCAAACTCACCCTTCTGGTCACATCCTTGGCTCTGGCTTTGAAGGCAGGATGAGGTGAATGGGAGTGGTGGTGGTTTAGCTTTCACGCATACAACAAAGAACCCCAGCTGTGGCCACAGAACACTGATGGATGAAATACCTTCATGAGGAGTCATACCCCAGAATACTGCCCTGCCTCTGGCAGCCTTGGCTCTAGCCACCCCCTTGTGGACGACATTTCTGCTGGAGGATAGCTCTAAGCCATGGGGAGCAAATCTGAAAAACAAAGCAAGCACTCCCTACAGATAGCTAGAAATGAGCTATGTTTCAGATATATCATCCCAAGAATGCAGAGAAAAATCCAGGCCCTTGGATAGGCCAGGCCCAGGTAGAGAGGGCTGATCCTGCAGGACCCTGGGCTAGACCAGCTCCACAGCAGCCCTGTGGAGAGGCTGACTCTGCAGCCCTGGCCTTGTCACCCATCTGGAGCCTTCCTCTGATGGTTTCCAGACACGCACACTGGTGTTCTTGGTGAATATATTCTTTTAGTTCCCTTGGCCTTGGAGAGGTCTGAGGAAAGTGCACTTCTTAAAAGGTAACAAAATACATGATTGGAAAGTTAGACAGTCAGGCCGTGACTCCTAGCCTGCAGTCTGCCCCACCTCTGGTGGCCCCTTCAGCCCCTTGTTCCCTGTTGTCCCTGGGCCTCAGGATTCCCTCTTGCATATTCATGGGGGGAGCCACAGTGTTGATATGCCCTTCCCCACTGTCAGCTCAGGCAGCCAGGTCCCTAGAGGTTGGCTGCAGAGGAGGGCAGTGAGTCCCTTATGTGCATGCACCTGATGAGGCCGTGAAACTGCTGCTCACTGGAAGCAGCAGATTCTGGTTTTCCTTTCATTCTTTGGTAGCTCCTCAGCACCAAGGGAGGGCCCATTACTGGACTCCCTGAGTACTGAAAGGGATCTCAGGATCATGTCACTGCCATTTGAGACATTCAGTCCAGGGGATCCAGTTTAATTCATCCCCAAGTTGGGTGTATGTCTATATATTCTTTTGCCCACATCTTAAGACACCTGAACAGCACAAGAAAAAAACATAGCTATACTCTTTACCAGGAGTATCTCAATGGTTTCTCAAATGCAGTTGGCTCGAGATGGGCACTTGGTCTATGGCAGGAGAGACAGAGGGCCAGCACTGCCCTTTAGCTTTTTGCAGCTCTGAGCAGAACCCAGGGAGGGAAGCAGATAAAACAGCAGAATGGGGGGGAGGGTATTGGCAGTTCTATGTCTTCCTCTGTGATTCAGCCATTTTGGAGACTCCCTGATGAGGTCCACCAACCCTGTGGCTACGGCTGTTGAGCCACTCTTGTCCCCCAAATTACCATGCTTATGGCCATATTTCTCATCTCCAATAGCACCATTAAGAACAAGTGATTTTGGATGATGGATTTTTGATTTACAAACGGTGCATTTTCCTTGGAGTGGAACAGAAAGGAAACCATTTAATGGCTCCCTTATTTTCAAGCATGAATACATTTTAATGAAACTATTTTATTGTATTTGAGGAAATGGAGAGTTGAACATTCCAACCAATCAATAGCCAATTAATTGCTATCAAGCTAAAAAGAAAATAAATAAATCCCAAGTCTATTTTAAACACCCTGCCAAGTTCAGAGCCTCGGAATCTGGCCTTCCATCTATGGTGTGCACGCCAGAGCCCATACACGGACACAAACACGCACATACCCCGAGACCTCACATGTACCTGAAACTCAGAAAAAGCGTTGAGTCTCCTCGTGCCAATTCTTGCCTGCTCTTCTTGCCTTTGGTCACAGAAGGTGAGCAGACCTGGCAGCAGCCAGTCCTGGGGTTCAGGAAGAGACAAACCTTTTCCCTGGCCCCAAGTTACCAGCACAGTATGGGGGAACAAGCAGTGAAGGCCTGGCATTGCCAGGGCCACACTTCTCGTTCCTAACTGCTGGGCCTCCCACATAGGGTAAGGATGGAATTCCGACTCTAGTTTGGCCCTGATTCCTGCTGGAAGATGCTGCCCTGGTTATTCCACCCTCTAGTGGCCTTTGGACATTTGAGTATTTGTAGAAATGCAGATTACATTGCAAATGGAACTCTCTGCCAGGAAGACACATGGATTTTGCTTTTCATTCTTTGAGACAGATGACTTTGTCTTAGGGACCAACCTTCCAGCATCAAAGAAATACATATCTACTGTATCCGCCAAAGTTTGTGATGCCTGCATAGACGCTTACTTATTAAAAAAAAAAAAAGTACAAAAAAAAACCCAACAAAAAAATTGAATTGCCTTTGAAAGTCGGAGATGATCTTTCTCCAACAGATTGAAAAAAAAAATGCTTCCTAAAATGTGTTATGTTTTGTATTCTTTTTTTCTAGTAGAAAATAACTGACTTGAAATATTGGTGGTTTTTCCTTTCTTAGTGACGTGTGTTGCTTTTGTGTGTAATGATATTTGAATGTAATTACAGCAGTGCCAATTTGCCAAAGATGTTGGACATATTTTTCTTTTGTTGGGAGGAGGGCAGGGGTTGGGGTGGGACTTGGGAGGCAACTGGGGTGGGTACTGTTTTAATTTTTCAAGTTTTTTTTCTTGTCAAACCTGGAATTTGTGCTTTTATTTTAAGTTAAATGGTTGACCGCAACACCTTTATTTTAGATTAGTTTGAAAAACATGCAATAAGATTGGCGTAGTTTCAATATCTGTGTGTCTTTTCATGAGTGACTGTTACTTGTGAAGAATTGATTTTATGTAACCTTTATGTGAAATAATTATTTGTAAATATTTGCCATAATTTTATTGGTTCCTAAAATAAAAGTAATTTTTTAAGTTCAGAAAAAGAATTTTATCTCATTCATTTTTAGAAAATTTGCAGATGCTCTTTGACAACTTCAACCAAAGCACGTGGGATTGTGAGGAATTTGATGGCTTCTGATTAAATCCCAGTCAAAACAAATTCATGGGTCCAGAATGATGTGCCATATCACTCAACTCTTCTATGTGCAGTGGGCAGAGAGGTAGGGCCTGCCCTTGGCAAGCTGCCAGCTAGGTTGGCGGGGCGCTGCAATGGATGAGCACTGTCCCCTGCCCTCCCAGACTTGTCTTTGCTGTTCACTAGCTGTAGAACCTTAGCCAAAGTCTTTAAACTCAACGTTTTTAGCTCTAAAATGGACAGTGATACATACTTCATTCATTCATTCAACATCTACTCTGTCCTAGGCACTGGGGATAAGAGCAGCGAATGAAGCAAAAGAGAAACTCTGCTTATATCAGACATATAATCCAGTGGGTTATTGTGAGGATAAGTTAACAGGTAAAATGCCTGCATCCGTGCTTTTAACCTTGATCCACCCTGAATCTCCAGGAACCTAAAACGTCTGGGAACAGACAAAGCTCAGAAATCACCTGTGCCAGGCGACCTGGTTTTTAGGCAATAAAGCACAAGCTGTACCTGGCCAGAACTCAGAGCCCAAGATCCACATTCCTTCTGAGGGAGGTGCCTGTTCCAGCAGCCTTCAGAAGTGAGCATTTTGGCCACATGGGAGCCCAGAAGTGGCTTTTCATCAGAGGGTAGGGCAGCTGCAGACCTGAGCCCTGCCCCTGCCAGGCGATGTCAGTCTGCAAGGGCAGGCAGGGACCGCTGTGCCCCTTGGCACAGTGTGTGCAACTCAGTAATTGCCAGAGATGGAGTGGGCGAGTGACCACGTGGGGGCCGTGGACTGCGACTCATTCATATTTAATAAAGCAGGCTGCACAGCCTCCATTCATTTCTGCAATGGATGGTGACGAAGATGATTCCTGGGGGAGAGACAGTGAGAGAGCGCTGGCAGAGCTCTGGCCCTTCTTACTTCCCAAGGCATTTACAGCACAAACTTCAAACAGAAGCAGCTGTGTTTGGAAGCTGAAATTGGACCCCAAACCTGTGGGAACTGGTGAAGTGGGGCAGGCACTTTAGGCCCTGGTTCCATGGCTCTGGTTCCTAGTTTTCTGAGGGCAGAAACCTCATACCTGCCCTCAGAAATGGGGCACCAGTATCCCTAGTAATCAGTGCAAGTGCAGCCCCCACATGATAGCTGCATAGAGGTAACAGATGAGGCCTCCAGGGAAGGAGGATGGAAATGCCAACCCTGAGCATGCTCAGGCAGCCTCCAGGGAAAGTCACAAAGGGCAAGAAGGCCAGGCCTGAGGCCTGAGTGGGAGGCCTCAGACCCATTCATTCTTCATACTCCCTCTGGAACCCAGCCCTCAGATGCTGAATACAGGGATATCCAGCACCAGGATATCCCCATATGGCAGAGGGCAGAGCCTCCTAAGGGCCTTGACTGGGAGCCTCAGATCCAGCTTTTAATGGTCAGTTTGCTGATGTAAGCAATGGCTTGACTTCTAGAAGCCTTGATTTCTTCACCTATATAATGGGCACAAACTTCATAACATTTGCCTCAGTATTATGAGGAAAAGTGCTATGTACTGTGGGAAAGTTTTTCCAAATGACAAATGTGAGTTTTGTCAAAATGTCTTCTATAGTGAAAAGAAATAAAAACCTTATACCCAAAGGCAAAAGTCTATCAGAACTTCCTCAGTGCTAAGTGCAGGAGGAAAGTAGAATGCAAAAATGAACCAACCAGAAGTTTTCTGTCTGGGGATGGAGATGGGCATATTTTAATCCTAGGCATCATGTGACTAGTGCCACCTACTCATGGGGCAGGCAGGGAAGTGTGGGCTGAGGAAGGATTTCATTCAGCTGGGCAAGAAGTAGTCAGAGAAAGCTTCCTGGAAGAGATGGTTTTGAATTGAGCTGTTAAGGGTGAGCAGGATGTCAACAGGAAATTTCAGAGAAAGTAGGAGGGAGGTAACAGCAGGCACAAAGCCCCAAGGATAGGGATATGCGTGTGTTGTGAGGATACACTGGACTCTTGACCTCTGAGCTCACCAGATATTATGGCCCTTTCCTCAAGCCCACCCTGTGAGGTCCTGTGGTGACCCTGTGTCAAATGAGGGCTAACCTGGGTCCTAGATGGAAGGGGAGGACCATCCTGGGTTATGTCATTTCCTAGCAGGTAGAGTTGTTCAAGGAGGGTAGGGAAGTGGTAGGTGCAGGCAGATACTCCAGCCCCATAGACTTAACCGCTTTGGAATCTCTAGTCAGCTGTGTGGTGATATGGGGAGGGGACTCTTCTGACTGACTTAGTGCTGCTGGGGTCCCATTGAACACTGCCTCCTGAGCTGTCTCTAGGAGAGACATATAGTCTTCAAAGCCCAGGGGGAAGGTGGTGGCCATCAGCAAGAGATTTTGTCTACAGGAGACCCAGCCACTGTGATCTTGGACAACTGGGAGCATTAACTCCCAGGTGATCTTGACTTTTTGCTTATTCATATGTCCTGATTTTTCAATGAATATGATTTTTACACAACTTTTAAATCATTTTTAAAAATTAGCATAGCTATCTTGAGTTGATTTTATTGGCAGATGGTGACAAGAGTCTTGGTGACCCCACTTGAGATCAGCCCTGAGAGTATTTATCCTATATTCGTTTTGAGTACTGCACAATACAGCCACAACTGGGTGATTTAAATAGAGCCTTGTTTTCTCACAGTTGTAGGGGCAAAGAATACAAGAGCAAGGTGTTAGCAGGCCTCCCTCTTTAACTTGCCAATGGATGTCTTAGCTCTATGTCTTCAAATAGTCTTCCCATCTACATGTCTGTGTCCTGGTCTCTTTTTAAGAGGACATCAGTTGTTTTGAATTAGAGCCCATCCTAATGAACTCACATTTTACCTTATAGACCTGTTATAGACCATATCTTCAAACATGGTCATTTTCTGAAGTACTGAAGGTCAGGACTTCAGTTTATGGATTGGGTATGACACCATTCAGTCCACAACACACGTGAAAATAAAGAGACTCTCTTGGATAAGCCAACCCTGCCTTGGCCAGTCTAACACTGTCTCTACCCAGGAACATCTGTCCCTCTCTATCCACACCAGAGACTCTGCCCCCTCAGTTCTCAACTCTCCAGTGTAGCCCCAGAAAGATTCTCCATCCTTAAATTCAAATAAATTCCTTGTAGATTAAGAAGTTGCTTTAAAATTTTAAAAAATTAATAATCCCAGTTACTCAAGAGGATCATTCAGAAGGATTGAAAGTTCAAGGCTTGCTTCAGCAACACCCTATCACAAAATTTTTTAAAAATAAAATAAAATGGTCTAGGGATTTAGCTCAGTGGTAGAGCACTTGCCTAGTATGTGCAAGACCCTGGGCTGAATCTCCAGTACTGTTCAGAAAAAGAAAATTTTTACAAAACTGATAAGAATTATAGATACATATTTCAAAACTCCATATAAAAATGATTTCATAATTTTAAAAAAGATGTAAAGTCTCAAAGGAAAAGAGTGAATGACTACTTATTTTTCTGAACTTTTATTTCTCTAAGAAAAATTAACAAAATTCAAAATTCAAAGGTAACTTGGGAAAATAAACTTAAGAAATGTGAAAAGAGGCAATGTCCTTCAAATGTGAAAATTTTGTATGCAATTATTTGAAAAAGTACTACCATCCTCAAGAGAGAAATGGATAAAAGACATGTGAAGATTATTCATAAATGAACACATACTAATATCACGGCATGTTTACTACAGAATTTAAAACATGGTTTGACTTCATTAAAAAAAAAAAAAAAAAACACCCATTGCTGGTAAGTGTGCAGAGAATGGGTACTTCTTCCCGCTGCCACTGAGTTGTCTGACAATGAGACCAAAGCTGCCTGTTAACCTCTGGGCCTGACATGAGCCCCACTTGGAGGAGTGGGATTCGAAAGGGGCAGGGTGAGGATCTCACATTCAGGTCTGACCACTCCTGGTCTGTGGTTTTTCCACAAGGCTGTCTGCCTGCAGTTACAGGATGACGTTTACAGCCCAGGTCAAGTGGGAAACATGACACGTCAAACCCAACGGTGTCAACTGATAGGCCATGCAAGCAGCAGAGGTGCCCACATTATCCACAAACATGTGTAAATATCACGACGGCTGTAATGTAACCAAGAAAATCACTTCCTGATGTTTCCCCTTCAATGATATTTTCTGCTTGGCTGAGTTTGCTTAGCACACTGGAAAGGCCAACTCATCAGTTCTTGTTGTTAATCAAGAGCAGTAATTGTCCGAGTTCAAAGCCTCCTGACTTAGACTCTGCTGAATAGGATAACAAGTTCCAAAAATGCTAAGTGGTAGTTTCTATAAATGGGCATTTTTTTTTTAATAGGGAAGGCCCCTGAAGAGGGTTTAGAATGAAAACCTTTCTGCAAAGAGGAATTAAAACATTGTGCATACTTTACAGAGCATGGAAGATAAACTTTTAAAACTCTCAGAAATTCTTAAAGCATGCCCTATGTGGCTGTGCAATCATTTCCTCCCCCACTGTGTGAACTTGTGTGTTAGTTTAAAAGGATGCCAACTGACGTAATGAGCATGTCCTGTAACTTCAAAGTTGACACAGCAGAAACCTGATCTTCCCGTATATAATACATTCCTGGAGGGTGACAGCCTTCCACAAGGGGACTCAGGCTCCTTTCTTCTCTTCTTCTTTTCTTTTTTTTTTTTTTAAATACAAAATGTGCTAATTTTACTAACTACTTGGTCATACACTGGCAACATCTTTAATTTCTAGAGACTACATGTTGCAAATTTGGGACTCATTTGTCCATTCTAGACACTATATACACAGCAGAACAAAATGCACAAAACATACAGAAAACTGATATGTGAAAATGTACAAATATGAACACACTAACATCTTACCTTTTGAAATTGCTTCTTTCTCACCTCCTCCACATCACTGAACATGTACAGATAGTACTACACTGCTCACAGAGGTGGTTTAACATTTCTAATCCCAAAAGACAACATTTCATATGAAATTTATCAAAAAGATATTTACAAAGTAATATTTTACTACCTCTACATTTAACATATATCTGGGCACTTCTAAACATCTAGACAGACTAGATGTTTCAAGTAAAGACTCAATTTGTCCACTATGTACATGACAGTTTTGAATAAACTGCACACATGTAACAATAGTTCTAATTTGAAAATGTCTTCATAACATAAGCATTCTGGCCCTTCACCAAGGCAGTGGGCTAAAATGCTCAAATTTTCAGATGACAATCCTTCCTAGGAATTTTAACACAAAACATACAAAATTTGTTTACTAATTCTACTTTTATCATACACTGGCAACCTCTTTAACACCTAGAAAGACTAGATGTAAATCAGGACTCATTTGTCCTTTATATACACTATTATACACAGCAAAGTAAAACAAAATCCATAGACCTAAGGAACAACTCTTGCCTCAATGTAAGCACACTGGCATGGGCTCCCAAGAACTAGCATACAATTTTTAAAAGGATGCCAACTGACATAATGAGCATGTCATTATGTACTACTCAACAGGGGGTTGGCTGTTGCCCCCACCAAAAAAAAAAAAATTTCATAAGGATTTTAAAAGAAATTTACAAAATGTGTTATATTTTACCACTTCTACTTTTTACCTGTTTCCAGCACTTTAGAACATCTAGAAAGTCTAGATACTTTTTAAATGTACTTAGCATTTTCAACTGTATATACAGTAATGAGGAATAAAATGCACACACAAAATAATGATTATTATAGGAAAATGTCTTTTACATAAAACTTCCCTCTTCTGACGGTCAAAGTCTTCCCCATGTCCTCCATTCTAACCCGCTTAATAAACGGGGACAAGTGCTACTCCTACAGGTGGTCTAACATCCATTTGAAAGTCACTTCCAAAAGATACTTCTGATTTTTTTAAAACAAATGGGCATTTATAAGACGTTATCTTCTATCATACGTCGGCAAACTCTTTACATTTGGGATGTCCAGATGTAGTAAAAAATTATAAAAGGTTGGTGGGGGGGGGCAAGTTGAGAGCTTTTTCATATTCTGTACACAGGCCTTCTACAAACGACCAGCAAACCTCCCCAAAGGGTGGTGGGCATTTCCAAATGGTCAAATAGGACATGTTCCTCCCGTTAACAGTTCCACCCGTGGTCGTGAGGCCTTTGCTCACCTTCCAGGAGGGTTAAGCCTTTCTTTGCCTTGGTGCTGGTCTTCAGGCTGAAGGGCACTCTCACGGGTGAAAGTGCCTGTCTCCTGGGCTGAAGTAGGGTCTCGCGTGAAGAGGTGCAGGTCTCGCGTGAAGAGGTGCAGGTCTCGCGTGAAGAGGTGCGGTCTCGTGAGTACTCAGGAATCAGGGTGCGGTCCCGCGGGCGGAAGTGCCGATCTTGTGGGCTGAAGTACAGTCTCGTGGGTCGAGATGTATTCCCTCCTGGCAGGCTGAGGTGCCAGTCTTTGGGGAGCAAGGGCTATACCGGCTTGCTGGACTTTTGGAGAGGATACAGAGCGTCCTACAATGCACTGCTCCTCTGTCTTTCCTTTCTATTTTTGGCCCATCCATTTTACATGTAGCCTCAGGGTTCACCTTGTTTGTCTGCATCAGGCCTATAAAAAAAAGAAAGCCTGGAGATCGTACCTCGGGAAGTTATCCTGGGCAAGGCTGGAAGGGCTACACATTCTAGCTCACATTCTATTGCCCAGAACCTGGTCCCCAGGCCACATCCGACAGGAAGGGAGACTGAGAAGCAGTCTGGCAGTATAGTGATAGAGAAGCGAAACGGTCTAGAGACAGCTGGCCAAAGCTATGTCTTCAGACACTTGCGAATTCTAGACACCTCCAACCTCAGCTGAACACAGGTCTTTTCTACCAACTCTGGGGCCAGTGAAAAGCAGAATAACTGAAGCAAAAGAACTGCATGAAGATGCAAGGCCCATCTCGCTGCGCCTCATCTCTGCCCTATCCTTTGGCTGAACTCAGGCCAGTGTCAGAGAGCAATTGTATTCCTGTCCTGGAAGAGTTAAAAGAGTTTTGTGGTTTGTCTTCAGTTCCTGGTCCATCTGACCTTGTGCCCTGCTTCTAAATATAGACCTCTGGATGAGTTGTAAGAATGCCTATTAGCATTTATTGAGCACTAACTGTCTCCCAGGCAATGATGTTTAGTGGAATGTCTCCTGTTGTCCCAGAATTAAACGGCCAAGATCCAAAATTGAAGCCAACAGTTCATAAAACCTCCAAAAGTTCTGTGCAGTCATCTCCTACAGTGCTGAGAAGTGACAATTCAGAAAATGGATCTGATGACCCAATAACACACTTCTAATAAGTCCCCCAACCACAGTTATCACCACAAATACAAGATTGGGTAGGGAGAGGCAGTCAGCTCTGGGAACATGCATGTCCAGGGAATACGCAGGTCCAGGACACAGGTTAGACCCTCCCTTTCTGTGAGCAGGACTGCTACTGCTTCTCTCTAAAGCTGAAGGATGATGGCTTTAAGAGAATCCCTTGAAAGTCTAGAGGTATCTTCAAGAAGGGGAGACTTGAATTCACACCCCCTCCTGGTATGGACATCTTCTTCACCAGAAGATTTGGGGACTTGCCACTGAGAAAGGAGAATGGACAAAGATATGCATATGCCTTGTGGGCAGTAGGGACACCATTGATAATAGCCACCTTTGCACTGTCTTGTGGAACTTGCCCCCCACAAAGAACCACCCCCTGGCAAGCTGGAGGCAGTGGGATGGACAGTCTGGTGGAGGGTTGGGGGAAGGAGCAAAGGAAACAGAGCCCCATGGCCCACCCCCCAAGAACTGGGTGCAGGAGTGAGAATGGGAGGCATATGGGATCATCATGTGATGGGAAGGTGAGGAGATTTTGCAGAGCTAATTAAAGTCCCTAACCAATTGGCTTCAAGTTAATCAAAATGGATATTATCTGGGTGGAATGATCTAATCAGGCCATTTCTTTCAAAGAGAGTCTAGAGGTCAGAGAAATAGTTGCCCTCCTTTTGGCTTTGAAGACGCAGAGTTTAATACTGTGGAGAGGGCTATGTGGCAGGGAACAGTGAGCAGCCTCCAGGAGCCGAGGACAAGTCTAGACCTGTAGGAATCAAATACAGTCCTCAAGCAGTGAATCAACATTCTATTGGCAACCCAGGAACATGGAAGAGCACCAGAGCACTAACTATCTCCCAGGCATTGACAGTAACAGCTTTAGCCAGCACCTTGATTTCAGCCTAGAGAGGACCCAGCTAAGTCATAGCCACAGAAACTCCTGTCCCACAGAAGCCATGAGACAGTTCATGTTGTCTTTAGACAGTGAGTTTGTGGCGACTTGTGTAGCAGTAGAAGATTGCTATAGCTTCTCTGTGGGCTGCTGGAGCCACAGAAAAGTCCAGTCTTCTCTGAGGGAGGAAGAGAAAATACCAGCTTTGAATGTTTGGGATTGAAGTTTCAAAAAGAACATGACTGTGGAATTATGGTGTAACTCAGTGGTAAGGGAGCATGCTAAGCATGTTTGAGGCCCTGAGTTCAATCCCCAACACCTAACACCCCAAGAAAAACAAAAACAGGATTTCATGTTAAATACCAAAATCAAACAGTTCTAGTAACTAGAAATTCCTAGAAAGTTCTGGGATCTAACCGCTACATCAAAGCTCCTGCAACCTTTCCAGGAAGAAGGAGGGGATATTTTTACATAGTACACCTAGGGGAGCTGAGGGATTAACTCATCATGTTTATACTCCAAGAGTTATGTCTCCTTGATATGTTGGTTTCACATGTCATCTCATTTAAACCTTACTCTAACACTAAAGACAAATATTATCATCCTCACTTTTATAGATGCAGACATAAAACCTGGAGAATGACTGTACCCCCATCAAATAACTGGTAGGGAGTATGGCCAAGACTTGAAGCCAGGTAGTGTGACCCCAGAACAGAGGTTCCTGAGAGACACTATCCCAGGCTGGCTGGGCAGTCATTTTAAATGCTCTCAGAAGCCTTGTTGGCCAAGCAACAGGCAGCAGAAGACTGGTGAGATGACTAGGAGATTCTCTTACCCTCCTTAAGAAGGTGGAGGCCCAGGCAGAGCCCCCAGGGCCCTGTTCCTCCAGCACCCAGCCTCACAATGGAAGTCCCTGATGCAGCTTGAATCTAGGAAAAACTAAAATTACAGCAAAAATCATTAATCCACTGAGGTGGCTTGGAAGAGCTGCCAGGATATGCATTTTAAAAGCATGACCAGCGGATACTCCTTGATGGCTACTCCATGCCAGGGTCTCAGCTAGGCACAGGGACCTGGTCTCTGCCTACAGGGAGCATCTATTCTGGGGATTGGGGAGGCAAGTTGTAGGAGGATGGTGGTTCACAAGCAGAGTCCCTCAGGTGCTGTGGGAAGGGAAGAGAACCCTGCAAAAAGGGTGTGCTCCTATAGCCAGTGCCTTGACAGAGCATCTGGGATGTGCCACACCTGCCAGGCACACTTGCTGCTGCTCCATGAGGAGGCCCTATATTTTCCCCAGGGAGGTTCAGGAGTGGTTGGCCTCATTTTTTTTTTATTGTTTTCCAAATAAAGGTGTCTAGGGATAAGGTGAGTACCCTGTCACTGAGGTGTCCAAGTAGGAGCTGGATATCCATTTAGCAGCATTGAAAAGGCTCATCAGATAGTACCTGGACTGGGGGCCTCTAAGATGTAAAATTAGCTTTTATTTGTTTTTACATTTGTGCTTATAAAAATGGTAACACATACACATGTGACTAAAAATTTCAAACAATAAAAATTTAGGAATGTGGGTCTCACTGCCTCCCTTCCCAATCCCCAGACACTCATGACTCCCATTTCTTTCCCATGATGATAATCTCTGTGAACTCTCCCAGAGATAATCTATGTTTATGTAAAGCATATGTATAAAGGGGTCAGTGCACATGTACACAAATCATTTTAGTTTAAATATTTTCAAACATAGAGTCTGGTTTCTTAGTAAAAGTTCCTTTTGAAAAAGTCCAGTTTTGTTCTTGGCAAAGCTAGAAAGAATAGGACTTTCCTTTCCCCAAATCCTTGTTAAATATTTATTTTACTGCCTGTAATAGTTAGAATCAGATCATCTGTGAATGACTGACAAATTCAGAATAATAGTGGCTTAAACAAGACAGATTATCTTCTTTCACATATGGAGTCCAGAGGTTGGTGATCCATGGCTGATATGGCAGCTTGCATGGGAAGGCCTACAGGACACAAACTCAGGCATCTTTGGTCCTCTTGAGACTGTGTCCCTCAGCCCCAGAGCCCAAAATGGAATGTCAGGATTCTAAAAGCAGGCAGAGGACACACACACACACACACACACACACACACACACACTCAGCTGTTCCTTGAGTGAGGTTCCAGGAAACTGGTACCTGACACTTTTGCATGTGTCCCATTGACCAGAATTGAATCAGACGGTGATATCTAACTGTAAGGGATACTAGTAATGTGATCTGTGTCCTGGGTGGTCTTGTTTGTCCAGCTACAAGTTCTATTACTCTGGGAAAAGGAGCAAGGAGATGTTGGAACATGACTATCAGTCCTGCTATATCCACACTGCCTAGTTGGTTCAGACTAGAGACACATTTCTGTATTTATTCAGCCAGTTGTTACCAGATATATTTGTGGAGTTGAATTGAAGTTCCCATGGGAGATAGGGTAGACACATGTGGACCCAGACCTGCTTCAGAAATTCAAAAGAGGCCAGCTGAGAATACTTCCTCCAATGAACTGTATCTTCATGCCAGATTTATCACACCCATATGAGAAGGTCCACACTAGGACTCAGTTTATCCATCTGTGCAATGGGGTATGGCACATAAGATTGACCCATGTGATCTCTAGTTTTTCCATCTCAAAAGCCCAATGAGCCTGGTTATAAATGAATCATACTCAAGGGACCACACATTCACCAGGAGGACTTAGAGTCAGATCTGAGTGATCAAAGAGAACTGATCATTTCTTGGGTCTGGACTTCCTTATAGTGACCCTTGTCCCTCAAAGGCCCTATGAAGCTTCAGAAACTATCCTTCTGGGGCAGTGAGCTAGAGCACATGAACATTAGCACCAAAAGTTTAGGAGGTAGGATAATGAAATTGCAGAACTGACCACAATAAGGCATCTGTCATTGGAAATAACCTCCAAGCCAAAGAAGTGTCAGGCTGCCAGTGGAGGCAGAATACTTATCAACAGTAGTTTTCAAGGGCAATTATTAAATAAAAATGATACTTGAGAGTTCTTGAGGAGCAATCTTTGGGGACAGGGGAGTGTGGCTTCCACAAAGAGATGCCTGTCCAGTCCATGAGGCTCTTTTGAGGAAGAATAATGTCTAGCAAAACCAAAGAATATTCTTGTTCAGCTTTGAGAACATCTGTCAGGAAATACATGAAAACACTAAGCTTTGCTAGAAGTTACTGGAACATTTCCTTATGACTAA